CCATACCCCTGGGGGACTGCTAACCGCGACGTTTGGTTCTTGCTGACACTCAGAGGACGGGAGTCTATACAGCCCATTCTTGACTACAGCTTTCTTACTCATCCAACCCACTCCCTGTTATGTGTCCCAAAAATTGGCTAATGAGCAGGAAAGGCTGACTCGCAGAATCAAAGGCCCACCCCTGTGCTGTCGAGGGAGGTTGAAAGAAGCCATCCTTCATGCCTGCTAAGTGAATTGCTTTAGACAGCATGGCGGGAGGGCAGATCTTACGCCTGAACCGCATTCCCCAGAATGCTGTAAGGGATGAACTGTTGCCTTTGAGGTCTGTAAGCCCTGCAAACTTTGGGATTGTTAAATTGGCTCTAGTGAAAAGGAAAGCGTGTAGTGAAAGGGCTGTAAGGGACTGCACTAAGGAGTCCGTTTACAGGCAATACATTCCTGAAAATTCTCCACAATCATGTAAGGCTGTGGGTGGCAGCTAAGGCTTGCTTACAGAACTATTTTTTTCTCCCTGCGAACTGGAAGGGAAATTTGGATTTCGAGACGCCCCATGTGCTTCCCCAGCTTGTTAGACACCTGCCACAGGTAGGACACCAGGGGGCGGACTACTCTCCAGACAATTGCACAGCACCTCTCAGCTCCAGGGCCGGAGCGGCGCAGGACTCGTCGGACTCACCTCGGACCGCGCGTCAGGCCGCGAGCCCGTCCCGCTCCCGTCCCCGGCACGCTGCTCCTGCTCCTCGAACCGGAGCTCCTGGACCACGCTGTCCTGCTGCCAGGGGGAGGGAGGGGGGGCACAGAAGACAGAAAGTCATCCATCAGACAGAGGAGGACCTCCACCCTTTCCGCTCTTCGCCAGCATCGGCCCGAAGAGCTTCGTACTAGACCCTGCGGGACTGTGGGAACGGACGACTGGTTCAGGTGATCTCAATGATCATTTCCCCAACCCCACCCCGTTAAGCCTCTAAAGCCCAATTAGCCTTCCTCAGGGTTAAGAGAGGAATCCACAGTCGGCACTCACAGAGCCAGATTACAGCACAGAAATAGGAGCTGCTAGGACTTGCCCGACTTAAAACAAGTCAGCAATCTGAAACCCTTTGACTCCTGCCATTATCGTTTACAGAGGAGCCGAGACGTTTGTGTGGTTCTGTAATCGGGCCGTGAAAGGGCAGGAAGAACAGGTGTGCGCCGACACCCGGCTGCAAGTCTGTACTCGTGAAGACGTCCCTTTGGCTCTCGTGCCCTTTCTACTTCCTGTTCTCTGCTCCGCCCACAGTAAACCAGGAGTTGGATTTCTGTTTTTAAAAGGACTGTGCTTTGCCATGTGAGAACCTCCACAGTGCCAGTGTCTCAGGAGTTCAAGTCCTTGCAAAGACTCTTCCTCCCACCCCCACCCCCACACCCCCACACACCCTGCCCCTCACCTCTTTGTACAGTCCAGGGTCTTTGGAGTAACCCTCAATTCTAGGGGTGGTCCTGAAGACAGGAGTGCGGAAGACGGACTGTCCCAATTTTCTCTGGAACAGACACACAAACTGGCCCTCAGTGCAGTGCTCTAAATACTTGTATTAGGTCCTTTCAAAGTCCTCTCTTCAAGAGTAAAGAGACTCTGCTCCTTCAACCTGTCAGTG